CCAGTCTGAGCTGGGTCTAACTAAACATGAGCTTATTTTGATTCAAGATGCAGTTTCTTCACCTGTAAGTGGGGCACAGAAATTAAGTTACATCCTGTCTTAGATTTTTTCTGAATCTCATTTTTTAACTCTTCTAGGATTAAACACAGAGGATTAAGATGCCTCATTATACAGGCCCCTGCTGGTGGCACGGGTGGCCAGAACCACCAGGTAATAAACACGTCCAGGAATGAAAGAAGTTTCAGGATGTTTTGGCCCAAGTATAGACTGTAGACAAGTCATGTACCCAACCCAACATGAAGTTATCCTCATAGTGAAGGTCATTCTGATACCAACAGGATGGCGTGAAGTTGACTCCAAACGTGTATGTCTCTAAGGCCCACACAGCGGCCATCACTTCAGACTGTTACCACTTAGCTTCCACTGATCAGGAATTCCTGGAGAAGTTCTACCCCTTCTGCCTAAAGATCCAAACTGTTAGCTTTAATTGAGAAATACCTCCAAGTTCTTTATGACTAGAGAGTCCACTGGGAACCAAAAAGTCAAAGACCTTCAAAATCTCCCAACTTCACAATTCAGTTTATGGAGAATAGAACACGAAATTTGGTGGGTAGTACCCTCAATGACTCTTTCACCTCAGAAAAGGCAAATCAGAGATTTCTAATTGTTTGAGGGAGAATCAGATTTGTTTTTTCCTGCCTCACCAGCCATACTCTGTGCACCATACTACAAATCACCCTGGTAAATACATCCATTCAAAGGGTGAGGAATCCCAGGCTGAGCTCTGCAGCGAGGGGCCATGGCACACAGAGGCAGGGGGGCCTTGATAGACCACTCCAGGACTGGAGCAGAGAGAATGAGAAAATGAAGAAGAGGGATGATGCTAAGAATCAGGGAAGGCCAGAAGCAGCCCTGGAAGGCAGGGTTTCAAAGACCTAGGCTTTATCTTGGGGGTGCTCAGAAGCCATGCAAAGGCTTCGTGCAAAAAGAGGATATGAGCCCACCTGCCTTACCAAAATCCCTTAGTGAATAAAGACTATGTTTTCTGAGGATGAACAGGGTCAACTCAGGAGCCTGAATTCCAAGTGGTCCCTGTCTCTCCTTTTTCAGTAAGGCATGTGACATCAATAGAGGTGCATAGTCATGGTTGTAGTATCATCCCAGTTCCACAAGCCTACCTAGTGAGCACACAGCCGTATTCTCCTGCCCCTCTGGGAGAGAAGCCAGTGCCAAGAGTGGTGCAGAGAATATGCTCAGAAAAAAGAAACACAAATGAACTCTGGCAGTTATTTGGCTCATTTTTCAGAATCCATCTAACAAAACACCATGTTCCAGTAGCCAGAAAGGATGGAAAGGCTCACAACTGGCAAAATCACTGCAGGACCTAGACTAATCATGCCCTACTTCGCAGCACTCCCATTTGAATTTTTGTTTTTTTTGTTTTTGTTTTTGTTTTGTGTGTGCTAGGCTTGCAGAGGAACATCTGTGTTTGCATGGGGGACTGTCAAAAAGGCATAAAAGAGAAATGGCTAAATACGATTAAAGATGTAGAATCAGAGTTTGCTGTGGCATTTAAAAGTGAAAAGGAACCAAGCAAGATCCAAGACTGAGAGCCACAAAATGGGTAAAGGCACTGGAATGAAAATAAGAGCCAATTTTGACAATTAAGAAAAATCTTTGCATTTTGGCAGTCCATCTATACTCATGGTGTGTCCCCTTTCCCCACCCTCTAAACCTATTGCTTGTTTAGGAAAATGAAGAGCAAGAGTGGCACGGGGAGAGGAGCAGTGACCAGGGATTATCTCCTTTCAGCCTGATTGGTTATTTTCCCACTATCGCAATTGCTTTAACTCCTTAACAAAATGCACAGTATACAGTAACTATGGTAGTAACTGGAGTTGAATGACTTAGCAAGCACATTAGAGGAAAACAGCCCCCCCCCAAACACACAGTTTGCCACAGAGAACCTCAAAGTATTAAGTCATATTTTTCTAATACAATTAAGTGAGCTTTTCTATACACGAAGTCATAAAGGAAAAATCTGATTGACTTGACTACCTAAAACTTAAAATTTTACATGATATAAAATAAGTGAATTTAAAAAAAATAGGGAAATAGGGGCACCTGTGTGTCTCAGTCAGTTAAGCAGCTGCCTTCCACTCTGGTCATGATCCCAGAGTCCTGGGATCGAGCCCCACATCAGGCTCCCTGCTCACTGGGGAGTCTGCTTCTCCTCTCCCTCTTCCCTACTTGTACTCTCTCTAATAAGTAAAATCTTAAAAAAAAGTAAGGAAATTTAAAAAAAACTATTAAGTTATGATAGGAAATTTTAATTAAGTTTGGTCATCTAAGTTTTTTATGTATCCATATTTCCTTTTGGGTGTTATACACAACTTGTAACTGCCCTGCAAAGTAAATGGTAGCAAGTATAGTTAACCTGGGAATGTGAAAGAGAGAAGAGTATTATTTACTCATTTAGCTTCATGAATGTACAACCTGTGCAACAGTACAGGGCCCAAGCTTAGAAGATGCCTATGCTTGGTTTAATACTATGCTGTCACAGTCTTGGACATTTTTAACTTCTATTTTCTTTTGTAAGAAGTCCTCAACTCTCTTTGTCTTTGGGCTCTGAAAAATGTGTACTGGTCCCATCCTTATAGTCCTATAAATTACCTATCTACAAAATAAAGTTTTGCACCGAAGAAGAAAACCAAGATGCTTAGGAGAAGTTTATAGCCTAGGAGTTTAGTAATTCGATTATAATAAAACAGGGTGATTGAGACACATGGTAGAGATGAAGCTCAAACAAGGGAAACATTACTTCTTGGTGGATGAGGTTAGTTAATCTGCGGAAGAGGCAGCTTTTGGTTGAATCTTAAAAAATAGTACAACTTGAACACTAATGGGAAGAACAAAGAACAGGGCACAGAGGTAGTGAGCTGTCTGAAAGCACAGGGACTGAGGGACTGCCTGGGCAGACGCAACTGTTGGGTTTTCCCACTGCGAGAAGACCCCAGGCTGGAAGGGCAGGAGCGGAGGCTGTGGGAGTGCCTTGAATATCCAGCTAACGAGGCTGGGCATAACTCAAGAGCAGCGGTGAACCACCGGAAGGTGAGAGAGAACCAGGTAGCCACAGTCATTACTTAGGAAGATAAAAGCCAGCCCGAGGCCAACACTGGTCCCTGTGTCCCCTTTTTGGGCTTCCAGCCCAGTGCTGTCTTCACAAATGACAGGGACCTTATGCTTTGCAGAGTTGCTGCAGGGAAAGTACCAGCCCATGCCTACCTCTCATCCAACCAGCTAGATGTCATCTGCTCTAACTGGCCAACCAGATGTGTTTCCACACTCTGGAGAACCAACCTTTATTGCTGAAGGTTTGAACTGTCAGAGCAGATAACCAAGGGACACAGCTCTGAAAACACAAAAATCAAAGTATATGCATGCTCAGAAGAGTAACACCAATACCGACACAGTGAGACTTTATGGCCTGAACTTGAGCACCTCTAAAAAAGTTCTTGTGGGTCATGGTAGAGAGCACGGACACTTACTCCATTTCTTTGAGACAACAAAACTACGGAAGTGGCAACCTACATTCCAAGTGCCCAGTGCTTTGGTCCATGAGACAAAACAGGCTCCACTCCCCAGGTGAAGATTTTACAACCACCACTTGGGATCTTTCTCTATTAGGGCTGCATCAGAAAATAGTAACTTGCACTTGGATTTTACATTTTTCAAGTTTTTATTTTTTCAGTCTTTCTTGGTCTCTCTGCTCTCTTTCTATTGCCCCGCACACATACCAATATATTCACACCTTGTATCGACGTACTCACGCATATGCACACCCACGCACACACAGCACCTGAATAATTTCCTTGCAAGCTGTACTCAACTCCAAACTGAAACTTACATTTCTAATTCTAAGGGTTTCACCCAATCATGTTCCAGAAAAATCCCAACCCTCTACTGATAGCTATATTTTAATATATTATTACTTGATATCAACTTAGAATTTTATTGTCCCTTTAGCAGGAATATAAGGAATTATGTGAAAATGAAAAATGTAGGAAGAATCAATCAGGAAATAAACTACATAAAATACTCAAGTACACACTATTGAAACTGCCTAAGAAAATGTAACTGACACTTATCATGATGTAACTGAAATGAAATGGGATTTTAACTTTTTTTTTTAGCTCCACTAAAACCATTTCTTCACCAAGAAAATATTAAATGAGAAAGCTGGTTTAATATTCTAGCTCTGAAAAAGGAGATCTTAAGCGACACTACACCATCTCTTTAGCAAACAATCTATCACTATTTAAAGATGGTTCAGTTTTCAAAAAGAAAACACGCTACTTTTTGGGGAAAAAAGGTTGTCAATATTCCTTTTAATGATATCATGTGTTTTCTTTAAACGAAGCTTAGAGGCAAAGACAGACATTTCAGTGAATTTCAGCGTATTCCTCAGAAATGAAAAAGCTGTTTTCTCATTCCAATTTCCATGCTATACTGAATTATAATATCCTGTATCAAGAAAAGCTTTTGATATTTCAGAACTAAAATATAAAACACATTTAATTTGGGAAATTAAACTCAGGATTAAAGGATAATGAGCTTCACCTTGGAACTTTTCCATCTTTATCATCTGACCTTTAACACGGAATTTTACACAAGAGAGGATTTAATCAGAAGAGGGTCCACAGAGACATTAACTGATAAATAGTTAGGGATGGACTCCAATACCCTTTTTGTTCAAGCAAATTCTCTTTTGTTCCTCTGAGCCTCACTCCTCCCTTAGAATGTTTGGTGAAACTCTCAAGATCTGACTTAATCTGACCGTGTCATGGAAACTGGTACCAGAAACAAAGAAGCCCATTGCTTCCACCAACCTGCAGTCTTCAGCTTGAGAAGAAGGCAAAAGCCTTCCCTGGGCTGCATGTCTGAGAAGAGGGTTGGAGAGACAATTAGCAACCTAGGTAGAAGAAAATCGAGCATCCTACCTTTTTAAAAATTCCATATACTCGGTATGCTTGATGAGTCCTGTCCTCATCATGATCGTTTGAAAACATTGTCGATCGATGGCCCAGAGTTTCACATTTACAAGAGCTGGAGGAGAGAAAAGGAAAATAACAGGGAAAAAAATTAGACAACTTCAACCATGAACCACATCACGCATAAGAGAGAAGGGACCCAGGAGAGTCCTGGGGAGCCTGAACCTTCATTTACAGCTGATACCATCACGCTGTCCTATTTCGTTAAGGACCCATGTATTCTTCCAAGGTAAAATGTAGTTCATAATTTTCCTTTTAGTGTTATTACCTAATAGGAAGATTCTTGGTGGTCTTCTGTCCTTAGGGGATGGGAATGCCCAAGTACACGCTGAAAAAATTTTGTGATTTCAAGACTACCTGAGCAAAAATCATGTAGAGAAAAAGATTCACAATTAATAACACTCCCTGGGAATTACCCGGAATGGTGTTCATGACTCAAATGATCACGTTTTCGTTGTAAAAAGTAGAGGCGAAAAGAAAACTCAATCTTCAGGCTAATGGGGTGAATTTAATAAAGTAGAAATAAATGCACAGTGCTTTCTACATGAAACCTATTTTTGCAAATTTAACCTATGCCCAAAGTTGTCCTGTGAATTTCTAGTAGATAGGTTTGTTGAATTTTAATTTCTATTCTCATATGTACACGGTCTTTAACAATAATAGTGTTGAAATAGAATACCATGAAGTTCATTGTTTGATCTATTACAACCATTTGATCTACTAAGAGACAAGTTTTGGAAAAAGACTCTATAGGGTAACAGGTTGATATCATGAGATAAGCTTGGGTTTTAGAAGAATACACTAAAAGTCTCCATACCCCAATCTGTGTGGTGGGCATACAAGACGCTTGTTGTACTATGCTCTCTGTTTATATATGTTTGCAAAATTTCACAATAAGAAATACTTTAACACACAAATGAAGCAAGCCAATTCACAGCACATACCCATGGGGGATGGGGTAGGTAAGGATGATGGAGGGGTTGGAGCCAGACAAGGGAGTAGAAACAGTGTATAGTTTAGTGAGCCAAATGTGGAAAAATTGAAGAGGACAATTTTCTCACTAAGCCCCCTGAATGTAATGGATGGAGATCTGGGTGTAGGGGAGGGGGGCAGAGTATTAGGCTGCAGGTGTGACACAAGGGGAGGGACACTGAGTAACACAGAGCAATGGAGGGAAAGATAAAAAAGGAAATACCATATTCTAGAGTAAAGCCCTATCTTTGAGTTTTACCTAATATTTCCTCGCAGAACTGTGTGACACTAAGAAACTAGAATGTGACTTGTCCCTTAGCCTGCTCTTTACTGGAGAATTAAAGGTGCTCAGTTAATGAGAAAATGAACAAAGCCACAAAGGCTGGTGTACGCATGGCTCTGGGCCAAGTAGCCTTTAAAAATGAACCATCATCAAAAGCAAAGCTCATGGCACAGGTGCTCTCCAGCTACATTCTAGCTCCTCAGCTCAACCCAGGCTCCTTTCCAGAACACCTGTTCACTTGAGACAAACCCCGAGACTGGATAACATGACCTCGAAGGATGGTCAATTTAGGAAAAGATTTACCAGAAGGAGAGTCTTTCAGAAGTGACAGGAGCTGAGCTGGGGGAGAGGTGGAGGAGGGGAAATCGGGGTGGGGAGAGCACAAGACCAGGACTGGGAAGGGGCCTGGGCCGGGGAGTCCAGACAGGGATACCATGGCCTGAAAAGGCAGAGACGGTCTTTATCTTTTTTTTTTTTTTAATTTGTTTATTTGACAGAGAGAGAAAGCACAAGCAGGGGGAGCAGCAGGTAGAGGGAGAAGCAGGCTCCCCGCTGAGCAGGGAGCCCAATGAGGGACTCGAACCCAGGACCCTGAGATCATGACCTGAGCTGAAGGCAATACTTTACCCACCCAGCAGCCACCCAGGTACCCTGGGGTTGCTCCATAAATTGAGGTTACTGTGGGGCAGGGGGGGCCTGGAAGCCAGGCAGAGGAAGCAAGGATTTGTGTGATAACCAACAGAAGGTTACTAGAGATCTTAAAATCAAATAAAGAAAAAAAGCAGAATTGAAGAAAATACCATAGATACATCAAAAACGTTTGAATGCTTGTAAGAAAAACAATTCTGTCTTCATCATTCCTAACGGTTCCTGGGTATTTCCACTATACAAAGACTTCCTCCAAAGGATGAATTAGGATACACTAACTTTATTTTTAAAAATAGTGGTGATGCAAACAGTTGTACTATTAAGGATATGCATCCTGGACTGCACATTCAAGGACTGACTAAAAGCAGACGGTCTACGGAAGTCAGGGATGCCCGCCTGAGAGGGCTCTGTCCTGAGGAGAGACTTCACCGGCATCCTCCCGGTGGCACTATATAAAAATTTCTATCACAGGCTCGTATACACTGAGTGATAGCATCACAGGGATAGCTGATGGAGACTAATCGAGGAGGGGCAGAAATTGGATTCGGAAGCACCCAAGTCAAGCAGAAAACAGAGCACTGCGGCCAAATGACACTTTATGTAAAAACCGGGAGGCAGAGTGGGAATAGGACCCAAACGGAGAAAACGGTTCTGCCCATGTGCAGCGATCACAGTTTTCCAACAAGGAGGAGTAGGTATCAAGCACAGGTCACGGTACTCAGGAGTTAAGTGAGGAGGGTCAGTTGTGTGTGTGTCTGTGTGTGTGTGTATGCTTGTATAGCTTGTGACCAAGTTATCTGCAACAGTCTGAGTCCTCGTTCATACCTGGAGGCCAGGCTGTGTCCCAGGTCCCTCCTGATGAGCCAGCTTTCTGCCCTGCCTGTGTCCCCGTCTAGAGCACGTTCTCACTATGGTTCATCATCTCTGCTATGTCTGGATCCTGTTTCCTCAAGTAAGTCTGTACGTTACCCCCAGAGAAAAGTCCATGTCTCATTTCTTGTAACTTCTCCCCACTCAAGAAATTAGCTTTTCACTTGATGAGTATTCGGTCTATCTGCCTAATGAATGCAACTTATGTACATAAAGTTCACCTAAGGAAAAAGCAAGCCTAGGTGGCCTCTCAGGTCACGTTAATTCGGTTGAGATATTTTAATCAGGCTTCTGAATCCATGTATTGCAAGAGAAGGTCTAAAAGTAACTTCACAGAATCCAGTAATTCCATTTTATCTTCTGATTCCCATTTACATGGGCTACTGGAATGTCTCTACGTAAAAAAGGTTTCAGATATTTTGCATGATAATGAACATGGCTTGACGAGATTGCAAATTTGTCCATGACCTTGGGCGAGATGCCAAAACCTTTTCTGTATTCAGCCGATAAACCTATTAGTCAAGTTAGCATTTCACAGGTGGGCAAGCATGACTAATAATCACCTTGCCTTGTTACCAAGAAGGTGGTTATATTCGAGTTGTGATTAACGTCTTTCTTCTTCAGAGAAGGCTCGAGAGTTAAGTCTCACTTCCATACCTTACAGACCATTTGAAAAAAAAAATTTAAAAAAACTTTCCATGTACCTCTGATTTTAAGTGGTGTACTCATCTCTGTAGGGAATAAGCACTTGAAAAATAAAGTTCCTGCGATTTTCACCATGATTACAGTTGTTGAACATGTAAGTCTCAAGGGCATTAAGCAGAGAAAGTGTTGTGAACGGAGTTTCCTTTCTGTTCAAGTATGTATCTCAAATACTCTGCTGAAACAGTGATCATTTCTTCAGTTTAAGGCCACATGGAACTCAGGCCAGTTCCTATTCCTCTGAGATCTCCAAGTGTAGGAGTCCATCAAGAACACCTTCAAATAGCCTTGAATTTGCTGGACACAAAGATTACTATGTGGGGGAGCCACAAAACTGCTAGACACTCATCACCAGTCTGGGCTTGGCTTAAATTCCAGTGGGGAATCCACCCACTGTTCAGTTCAAATTTTGGATGAATACTGAGAAAGCATATGTGGGTATACAACACTTACAATCTCAAATATTTATTCAGCCCATACTTATTTTATATATATTTATTTATATCTACGCCAACACTGGTGCAATATATAAGGGATAGAAAACCAACATACAGCTCCGGTCTTTAAGCAACTTGTCATCCAGAACAGAGGCCACCAGACTGTGGTCCATGCCAGACCGGGCCCATGGTCAGCTTTTATACAGTATGCTAGCTATGAATGGGTTTTGCATTCTTAAATGACTGAAATTCTTAAAAAGAAAAATATTTTATGACACATGAGAATTACAGGAAACAAATTTCAGTGCCCATAAAACATCTGATTGGAACACAGCCATGCCCATTTGTTTCCATATTGTCTCTGGCTGAATGGAGTCATTTTGACAGATAGTATCTGGCCCTTTACAGCAAACGCTCACCATCTCCTGGTCTCCTGTACTCGAACAGCACATCAAAAGTTGAGTACCAGCAGGGGGAAGTATCTGGGGCTTGGAATACGCAGCTAAGGCCTCCCAGACTCCCCTACTCGCGGTGGGAAAGAGCGGAGTAGGACGGATTCAAGGCTCTGCAGAAGACCATCTCCTAAGCTAGGGTTCTTCAGCCGGTGCTATGGATGGAATAGGTCTACCCCAAATTAAAAAGTTATAGGCTTAATCCCCATCTTGATATTACTTGAGACCGGGCCTATGGGAGGTACGTAAGTTCTGGCATTAATTCTAATGGGGCAAGGTTGGGGGGGCAGGCAGTGGATTCCCCACACCAACAAGCAACTCTCAGGACACCAGTTTGGTGTTTTACAATTCAACTCAATTCTGACACTCTCTACCCAGAGATGGTATCAGACTCTGAAGTAAAGGTTCATTCTGAAAAACTGCCTCCCCTCCTACCTTCAGAGGCCAATCCACAGTCCCTGTACTTGCCAATAAGGACAAGGAGAGATGGAGAGCACCACTAAACATTAGGGAAATGCAAATCAAAATCACAATGAGACACCACTTCACACCCATTAGGATGGCTATTCTTACAAAAATAGTAAGCGTTGGCAAAGATGTGAACAAATTAGAACTCTTATGCATTGCTGGTGGGAATGGGCAATGGTGGAGACACCATGGAAAATAGAAAAGCAGTTCTTTAAAAAAATTA